GACCAATATTTCTGTGACATCTGCTCAACAAACATGGACGGAAACCGTGCTTTGTATTGTTGTCATGATCATGAATGTCGTGATTATGCTGCCCACTGTAAATGCTTAAGAAAAGAGGGGATAATCATGAACGTCCTTGTCGATGATAATGATGATGATGCACCATCCACATCCAGATGTCCCCCTGCTAATGAGACCACCGCTGATGATAAACCCTTGCAGATCGAGCACTTCAGTCATCCACACATGTTAACCCTCATCGATAGCCAAGAGGTGGCTAGACAAGACGACCAAGATGAAGGAATTACTTGTAACGGTTGCACGCTACCCATCATGAGGGGTGAGTCTTATAGGTCATGCACAGAACAAGCAATAGAAAAGCCATGTAATTTCTCTCTCTCCACATAAATTGTGCTAAATTACCCCGAAAGAGGCTTCTCCCACTTCACGAACACGAGCTCACACTCCTTCCAACAGCATCTTCTGTCGGTGACGTTTTTGAGTGTGACATGTGCAAGTCCTTGAGCCAAGGTTTCTCATTCCATTGTGAAGATAGCGACTTCAAACTAGACCTCTATTGCAATATTCTTTATGAGCGTAAGCCTCTCCGTTGTGATGCTCATGTTCACACACACTCCAGTTCAGCACAGAGCTCGTGTCCTGCAGCAGTTATGGTACTCGTGAAAGGATTTCTGCTTCAGATGTGGCCGTAAGAGATGCGACTTCCAGCTGTGTATTCTGTGTGTTAAATTACCTCTTTACGGTTAGGTACAATTACGACGATCATCCTCTCAAACTCACTTATGCTAGTGTTAAAAAATGAGCTCGATGAGTACTATTGTGACATATGCGAAGGAAAACGAGATCCAAAACATTGGTTCTACTCCTGCCTGGATTGTGACTTTGAATGTCATACTCATTGCATTAGAGGGAGGTATCCGCAAGTCAAGTTAGGGGGCTCTTACAAGCATCATGATCACCAGCACGACGTCGCCCTTGTTTATAAGAGAAAAGGCAAGATTCCTAATGATAAGAGAGAGCGCTTACTTCCTTGTTCCAAGTGTTCTATGATTTGCAAAGGATTGGTTTGTGAATGTTTGGTGTGTGGTATTAATATGCACCTAAGGCATATAAGAAAGCAAAAGCATATAAAATTTCTATATTTTGAAATCTTGCTTTTCATTGTTTGCGATAGGCCTGGCAATCGGGTCGTGTCAGTCGTGTTCGTGTCGTTTTCGTGTAACACCTGTTAGCTTAACGGGTCGTGTCGTGTCACACCCGTTATCTTAACGGGTCCTTAACAGGTCGGGTCACTTTACCCGTTGGGTAAAGTGACCCGACCCGACCCGTTATGACCCGTTATGACCCGTTAAGAAAAATATTTTTTTTTTCTTAAACTTGCACATACTACATATTGTCACATAAATATTACTTTAAAACATTAAAACGCATTTGTTGTTTAAATACTACATCAACACTCGAAAATAAGAGTAATAAAAAAAATCCACACATTACTAATCTATTACAAATATTAAATATGCAAGGATATGCAAAATGAAAGCGTTTTTGTTTTCAAGGTTGTGAAGTCTTTTTCAAAAGTTTAAACCTTGTCAATGGAACTCAAAGCTTGCATGCTATTCATTTTACAAAATCCTCAATTTACGTCGATCATCATGAGGAAGTTGCATTGGAACTTTGGCTTGATCTATTGCCTTCTTCAAGAGTTATGTTTGATAATGTTTTCAGTAAGATTTTCCATGTCAGAACTCTCTTCCGCATAAACTAAATATAGAAAAACCAAACATTAAAAATCATTCAAATTATAAGAAATTTACCAAAATAATTATGAAAAGAAATAAAACAATAGTACTATACCATATAAAAATATATTACCTCCTTTTCCAAATAGCCAATCTCGTGTGCACAACAAAGCTTGAACTGTTTCTGGTAACAATGAACTACGATACTGATCTAGTACTCTACCCCCAATACTAAATGCAGATTCTGATGCAACAGTTGAAATGGGAATTGTTAACACATCTCGTGCTAACTGAGAAAGTATCGGATAATGAAAACGCTCCATTTGCCACCAAGAAAGAACATCTATGTCTACTTTTTCTATCTATTCTTTTATCCTCCAAATACTTCTGCAATTCAGTTTTTTCAATCGAACTTGAACCATCGTAATTATTATCAAAATCCTACATCATAAAAAATCATGCATCATGTTAATTTCAAATATAATATCAACACTTTTTATACTACTACTACAATCTACAAATATATAAAGTAAATAAAAATAAACTTAGGTTACCTCAAAGAGAACATCTACAGATTCTGTTTGATGATTAGGCACTGAATTCCTTGGAGTATTTGAATTATCAAGATGTGAAAGTTTTTCCAAGTACACACCAAAAAGAACATTCAATTTGTCATTCACCTTTGTAAATTCGACCGAATTCA